AAAAAATATACGTTCATTTTGCCACCATCACAACCATGGACAAAAAAAGCCAATTTTGACCACAAACAATACAGGAGTAAGAATGAAGACGCCTCCACAAAGTACAAAACGATTTAGAAAGTTAATTYCAAACATACTTGTCCACAAACATCGTCCTTGAGTTGGCTAGAAGAACAAGAAGCAATGCATCCTGCAAAAAAGCAGGACCATCCAATTGCCAAAGCCAACTTATAATCTTAAAATTTAATGATAACATTCAATGTACATTGACCTGATCTACAATTGTATTTACAACTTTTAGACAAGYGAATAGCATATTACTTCATGAAATTGCAATGTACGTACATTACACGAAATAGAAGGGACAACCAACGCCATGAACTCACCTTTGGCGTCTGGGAAAAGGCTCATCACGTGGTCTAACAAAATTGCTGAGTAGCATGCTCTATAAAAAGGTGAGATCTTTTTTTAGCAAGGTTACTAGATATGAATATGAAGAACTGGAAATAAGTAAAGAAGCAAAAAGCACATTTGAAAACAAATAAGTTATGGAGAACGACTAATGTCACACTCAAGAGTAATCGTCAGCATAAAACCATATTTAGAGACAGACGAACCGAGATTGTCCAAGGTGCAGCCTACCGAACAACTTCTAGCTCCAAACAAGATGTGCTGGTACAAAAACTGCCAAAGTATAAAACCATGAATGTTATTGCAAATCTCATGTACACGAGATATAAAGAGGGAACTCCAAAAGGCCAAGTCATTTAATGAGAATGTAGACATATATAAACAGGGTATTTGGAAAAATGACTTTTGGGAACGAAGAATAAACAGTTCAACATCACTACCATTATGCTGCCTAGCAGTCAACTGCATGATCCAAAGACAAAATTCCTTTCTCAAGATTGGAACAATAAGTAGATATAACATGTGGTGCAGCTAATTTCCAGTATATGTAAACACCCCCCCCCTCTTTCCAATTAATTTTCCATAACTGCCCAGATGATGCAGAAGTCAGATGCTGATCCTCAGGTCCTGAAGTATGAGAGTTATACCTACATTTCTCAAGAGGAGTAGATATGCAATGTAAGTGACACCAGTATCTCTTTACTCGAAACCCACATAAAAGCACATTTARAACCTAAAATAAACAAAAACAAAAGGTTGTACCAGAGCACATTCTTTTGATAKACTTAAGAGGGGAAATCATGCTATTGGTCAAGTCATTTTGTACTCAATGTCTTGACATGTACCTTAAAAGCTCGTTTCAACAGAGATTGAAGAAATTCATCTAAAACACATGATGAGAACACAACCAAAACATGAAGCTTGAGGTTAAAATCAACAAAAGAAATGGGAATTGAAGAACCTCATAGGTGATTCCAGTGTCAAACAAGTTCCGTTTCAAGAAATCATGACACAAAATGCAAAATTACTATCATGCAGATCATATAAAAAAATGTCATGATACCACTACCTTCCAAAGAGAGGGACGTACTCTTTGACATCAGGAGGAGAAATTAATCAGAGCACCACKATGGACTGCAAACAACATAATACGAAGCAGGAATGGTCAATTCCAACCCGGCTAAGAGAACTCTCGAGCATTGTGTTTTTAATTAGCCATATGAGGATCTGCATGCAACATAAGAGATCAGCCGCTACATTCTGCAAAAAAAGAATCCACATTACAAAACACCACCACGGAGGAAACGGATAGGAAGTCCATCACCGAAAACTGAAAACATGTGCCTGTGTAAAGCACAAACACAATACCATAACTATGGAAATCAGCAACGAAGAAATCCTCACGCTGGAATGTTCTTTATAGCATCAATCTTCAACTACAGGACTTGTACTTCTTTAGAATTACAATGAACAAAAACGCCAATAACGAGGCACAGAACAGAGAAAATGTTGATGAACAAAGGTAATTCTTTATCACCGCCAAAGGAGATGAAGAAAACCCAAAAACCCCTAATTTTGGGGGCTTGCATGATCCTCATAGACGTTAGGTATATATAGGTTTCAAAGTCGGTATCGGGCAACGGTTATAATTCCTCCGTTTCAATTTCTAACAGAAAAATCTAAATAAATAAAAAGATACGCATAATTAAAGGGAGATAGGGCATCAATTAAGAGATATGATTATAACGGCCGGTAAATAAATAGGTAGGTTAGATATACGTCAACTTTTGATTTTTAGGGTGTTTGAGATTACTTATAAAAATAACTTAGTGACTTATTTCGATGTGGTATCGGTAATAAATATTTTTTAGTGTTTGGATAAACAACTTGTACCGGTAATAAAGAGTTTTTGAAGAAGTTAAACTCGACTTATAATAAGTTGATAAGTGATTTTGTAGAAAAGTATAAGTTATTTCAAATAAACAATCTCAAACACCCCCTTAACTTGATGAATATTGTAGATACAACAACGGAAAAGTCTAAAGATATCTAATAGATTTTGGTGTTATGAATCATAAGTATTTGAACAATTTTTTAGAACAAATAGATCTTTAGACATTTTAAAACATGTAAACTAGTTTTCATTGACTTTCTAAAATATGTTAGATGCATCATTATAACCTATGAAACTGGTTAATGGGGTAAAATAATGACAAAAGCCTGAAAAAAACTAATGACCTTTCATATTTTAAACGATTAAGTMCCTAAACAATTTTTAAACCAAAAAAGTATTTTTTTTTTGTACTTAGATTTACAAAAAAGTAGWTACATTTAAAAAAATTATTGAT